GAAAAGATGTGATTTCTAAAACATAAAAGTCATATCAGTCAGAGGTGCTTACCTAATATGCACAAAGACCTAGTTCAATTTCTGACACTGTGGGGAAGTGGGGCTGAGGTGGGTGTGGGATGGTTAAGGGATATGAACTAGAGTTTCTTTGGAGTGTCATCTAATCACAAGAGACTTTATTCTTACCATGTCTGATCTTTGTTATCTTGAAACTCTTAGAAACCAGTGTATTTTATCAACTTCAGTTTCATGAGTTAGACTACACTTATTAATATGTAATGTGCTTTTTTTCACTTTAGATACAGACAGAAGCTGCTCAGTTGCTTACAGGTTTGTGACAAGAACTGAGAACTTTTTGGAGAAGGCAACAATCTACCTAACACTTTGTATTTCATTGATTTATAAAGATGATACATTAACCATAATGATTCTATGGCTCCCCCCAGTTCTTTGATGTTTAACCATTTTTCAGAATAAATGGACAAAATTCTGGGTTTCTTCACAATTGAAAGTGTAAAAGAAACTGTCTCTTTACCTACGAGTGGCAGCAGTACATTTCCCTGGTTCAGACAAACATTTTCAATTTGGAACACCAACAGGAAAAAATGATACAGGATATGTAAGTATTCATCACACCAGGATGAGAGGTTTCCAAAAGAAGGCTTTCTAAACAGATGGCATATGAGGGAATGGTTTGCATCTTGTAACTGACTGAAAGTTGCTGTCTTGGAGAAAAGGTAAAGTGAAAGGTGTTTATGATGTTGAGGGCTCCTGGCATACAGAACTTAAGTGATATGTCTTAGAAAGCCAACCTGAATAAGGAAAAATAGTATGGAACAATTTGCCTTTTGAAATGTGTTATAACTTCATAGATGGGTTGAATTTGTCACTTGGCAAACTGTTATCCTTTATAGAATATTGGGTCACAGATCTCAGGGTGAGAAGGAAATAGAGTATTCAACAGGCAAAGTACTATTATCACTTGAGTCTAAGGCGCCACCACAGCAGACTTACATGTTGTAACAATTGAAGCTTGGATGCCACTTCACTTACACAGAATGAATGTGAGACTGTATTCGTATACCCCCTCCCCAAAGACATGAGAATTGTAATGTTTTAATAAATTACAGCAAAATGTGTAGGTGTCTGCTGTTCCTGTTTTACTATGTAACCTTTCAAACATAAACATTGGAAGTACACCCTGTACTTAGATTTAAGGTATCAATACTTTGCTATATCCTATTTTTGTATATCTATTCACATATAATGGATTTTAAACCTTTGAAATTACAGATATTATCATACTCTTTAGTATCTTAGCTGCTCTTCAGAATAAGTACATCTTCCAAAACAAATACCAGACCTATTACATTATTTGTAACAAGACATACTCAAATTTTCTTAACTGTCCAAAAAGAAAATCTGCGTTTTGAGAACAGAATTTGATTTGCAGCAGTTGGTTTTCATACAGAAAATTTCTTCCCACATCTTACAACACAGACTTTTTGGAGAAGCCAATTTAATTGTTATTATCAACTGTCCTCTGAGAATCATGTTCCACCTTGTCTTTTGGACTCCAGTTAATTATACTTAGTCGTCTTTGGCTTTCATATTCATATTTGAAATTAGCTTCTGTTTTCTAAGTTCATTTCCATTTTTTATACTTTGTTTTCCTTTAGGTGGTTCGTATTAAAATGTGACCATTATCTTCATTTGCAGGTTTTATTTTGTCTTTTTCTTCATTTTTCTCCTGACTTTTGTCAGAAGCCACTTGATACCTTCATTAATTGTCTAGTTATGAATTTTAGCTACTTTTCATATTCACATTAGTATGTCATTCTAAAGAATTTAAATTTTTTTCTATTTCATCCAGGCCTTTATCAGATATGTATCCCAGCTGCTTTTGTGGGTTTATTCCTTAGAATGGCTTTTCTAGTGATTTTTTTTGTTACCAGCACAAAGTCATGGAATCAATCCCTAGCACACACAAGAAATTATTTCTGGAAAGTTAATTTTGTGAAATGAGATACTTTCCAATAATAAAGGCTTTATGAATTAGAGAATCTATCTTCTGATGCTTTACAGACCCATCTTTATTTTAAAATAATTAAGATTCATAAGAAATTATATAATATAGTACAAGCAGGTTCTGAATACCCTTCTTCCTGTTTGCCCATGGGTGACAAGTAGCTATAGTTTAATACCAAACTAAGAAACATACAGGTGTGATCTGTAGACCTTAATTCAGATTGTATGACTTTTATAGGTCCTCACTTAATGTTTAGTTCTTATTAACTTCATTATACAAATTTTATAACTAGCACCACAGGCTAGATACAGATGTGTTTTACTTAGACATCTAGTGCTCTATATAGTCATACCCAGCCACCATCAGCTCTTCTAACATTCCTGACACATCCTACAACTAATATGCTATGAATCTGCCACTTCACGAATCTTGAGCAAATGCAATCTTCTAGAATATGACCTTTTGAGATTGTGTCTTTTCACTTAGTCAGATCCTCTTAGAACAACTAAGTTCAATCAGTAGTTTTTCCTTTTAGTGTTAATATTCTTTCCATCTGTTGAAGGTATTTAGTGTTTTCTAATTTGTGGCTATGAAAACTAAAATTGTTTTACATTCATGTTTATTGTAGTATTGTTTACAAACAAGTTATGGAATCAGTGTAGACACCTATCAAGTGGACAAAGAAAATGTATATATTAACAAACCAGTTTTATTCAGCCATAAAAAGTGAAATTAACTCATTTGCAGCCAAAACGATGGAACTGAAGATGATCTTGTTAAACCAATAGAAACTCAGGTGGGTACTGCATGTAGATGCAAATTAAACAAACCAAAAAACAACATCAAAGTAGAGGGCAGATTACTTGGAAAGAGGAAGGATGTAATGGCTGGCTGGACATGTCAGAGCACATATGAAAATGTCACAATGTTAAACCTGTTATTTTGTGTAAAGTGAATATACACTAATAAAAAATTTAAAGCTGTTATGACCTATGGTTTTATGTATACATATTATCATGGGATAAATGACCAGGTAGATACGAGATTCTGTGTATTTTCGAAATTGCTGTTTTCCCAGGAGCTATTCATAAGGTCACCTTGGTTCTTGATGTGTACCCAAAGGTGAGACCACTACTCAGAGAATGCACCCTTTAATGCCATTATTTCTCCTTCCTGTAGAACTTCCATCTGACTATTTCTGTGTGCATTCTAGACCTCACTTTGTTTAAAAAGGTTAATATCCCTATGCACATATAGTTTGTAGTATTCTATATGCCAAATATACTACAGACACAGGCAATGGGTGATTTCCTCTCCTTAAGTGTCTCCTCCCTTTGAGGATTGTATGAAACCTGAATTTGAATTTGTTTATTGATAGTACAGTGGGTAGGGGAGCCTAGGCCTCTAACCACACCAGGGGAAAGCTGGGGGTCTGTTTGGTTATTTGGTTGTCCCCTTTTCTCTCTTATTTGGCAGCAAACCTGTTTTCACTTCTTGATGACAAAATATTCAGTGGACCATCAACAGGCAATGGATGCTACAAAATAGTTTTTCAATTTGTCTCATCTTAGAAAGGCATAATGAAGGCCAGGCGGTGGTGGCGCACACCTTCAATCCCAGCACTCGGGAGGCAGAGGCAGGCGGATCTCTGGGAGTTCGAGGCCAGCCTGGTCTACAAGAGCTAGTTCCAGGACAGGAACCAAAAAGCTACGGAGAAACCCTGTCTCAAAAAAATCTAAAAAAAAAAAAAAAAAAAAAAAGGCATAATGAAAACAAAACACAAGGACCAAGAGGATGTTCACAAGAAAGACATAGAATTAGTACTTTAAAGGAAATACTATCATCATTTTAATTGCATTTCCTTGGTTGAATTTTGGAGCATTTAGAATTTAGGAATTAGCACTTTTAGATTTATTTCAAATTCCCAGTTGACTTTAAACTTGATTTCTATGTTCAATAGATTAAGAAGTAGGGTATGTTACAGGAGAACTTTTATTTCATGTTTCAACAAATGATCTATTTGGCTTCTCCAGTGTTTACTAGATCATGTTAATGTTTAATTAAATGTTAAGATTCATGAGCCTATAATAAACTATATTTGTTTGGCATCAGTTTACTCAGAATACTGCAGTGCAGGAAACATGACTTCCCTGAACACCATCTTGAACCACATCTGCAAAATGAATAGTCTCAAATACCTCCACTGAAAGAAAGCCAATACTTTCAATCATAGCAAGTTTATTATGTTACAGAATAATTTATGCAGTACTTTTGAAGACTGGTCATCCTCTACTATATAACTTGCCATATATTAGAATTAAAAAATTCTTTAAGCTTGAAAATAACCAGATTTTCTGTAGTTTATTCAACTAAGTGAATTACTGTTTTTATTTTTTTCTTTTTGAATTTTGAATAAAACTGAAGAACATAATCTAAATATGTAGAAAAATAAAATCTTGGCAAAACTAAACTAGTGAGTAGAAGTTGTAATTCTAAGTGAATTTCATAGTTACAAAATTTTAAGTTAATGAACTTTGCAGTGCATAGTGAAAGGATAAAAATGGAAAATTTTTATATTAATCAGGAAGCCCAGTTGCTAAAAGTAGCAATATAATTCACATTAGATTTTAACTTTTTTTCATACACCATGAATGCCCTTATAATGAAAATCAGTGTTATTTGGAGAAAACTTGAACTATATAAAATTGGGGGTGGGGAGCACAAGGGATGTTTTAAAGTACCTACTAAATTTAGAAACAATTTTTATGAATTTTAAAGGAAAAGGGGATATTCAAACAGTAATAGTTCTCAGTATGAGTGTTTAAATACTCACGTAACTTTTTGATCCATTCAATTACATCTCTAATTTCTTTAAACTAAACCTTGAGCACAAAAGCATCAAAGTTCAGTACCTTTTATATATTCCTAAGTAATAACTATCAATTTATTATTAATTAAATTTGAAGCACATTACAAGTTAAGTACAGAAATGCCTCATTCTCTGAAATTCCACAAATACCCAGCATCCCAAAGTAACATGTAAATGGACCTCTGCTGCTTGGCAAATCAATTCTAGCTGCTCTTAGACACTACTGAATCTATTACATGACTTCTGTGTTTACTGATATAATGATGGATTTTTTTATCTGTTCATTTCGAACTCAGTACATTGAAGTATAGTCTTCAAAAAAGCCAGCAGCATTTTAAAATACACTTAAAGTAAGAGTTGGCCTAGTCCTAAATACCTTCCTGAACAGTCATGCAAGTAAACACAATCAGATATCACCTTGGAAGAAGAACATGGAACATTTGCACTTTTCCCCTGGATAACAGAAACATAGCAAAGCAAATTCAGAGCTTTATGAATGAACGGTTGCCATGTTTAATACACCCGGCGCTCTATAAAACTAGAGCCACTGTCATATGCTTATATAGATATATACTTCTTAATAAATTCTCTTGCTTGCTTCAAAAATTTAAGGATGATCTTTTCCTGGTCAGTCATTTCAAGGGAACAATAAATAAAGTAGAAAATGATGAAATGTTTTGCATATTTCTGTGGAAGAATGGAAAACACACTTTGAAAGATTCAGAAAATTAACTGTACAGAATGAACAGCTTATATACACTATCTGTGCAATTTTTCTCAGCTGGGGTATTTAATGCAAGAGCTCCTCCAAGACAAGAAGCCACATTCATTCTTGTCCAAATCCCTCTGTCTCTTCTATTGCAAAAAGAAGTTTTTCCTTTAGTTGTTCATAACTCTTATATGGTGGTAGATCCAAGCGATTAAAACTGAACAAAAACAAAAACAAAATCAGACGTTTTCAATAAAATAAACTGAAAAGATTTCTAATACAGTATTCTTTAACAACACATTGAAACCTGAATATTACGTATATAAAAATTTTGCCAAAGGTATCCTAACAGTTCAATATAATAATCAGCATGTCAACACATCTAAATTTCATAGAAGAATCTATTCAACTTTAAGACATAAAATATCTATATATTTGCCAAAGAATAATGGAATTATAAATAATAACGTGTAAAGACTGGATTAAAAAATGGATTTTCTTTTGCTATTTCTGTGTCATAGGTCATAAGGCTCCGTAACTTTTCTTAGGTTAAGAATTAATTTCATCCAATTATTCATTCATTAATTATTTATTTTCTGAGAAATTTTGTGTGCAAGATGTTGCAGCAGCTCGTAATATAGTGTTGAATCCTAAGTCCCTTCTCTCATGGAAGCTATGTTCTGAATAGAGACAGTCAACAAACAGATACATATATTTGTCTTTTTAAGTAATCTCACCACATTAGATTGTAATCTACAAACTGACCATTTTCCAATCCTTCCAAGATCAATTCTTTTCTGAAACTGAATGATGAAAGAAAAATACTAAAAATAAAAAAGAATAATATTCAATTTCTAAAATATGGTTCTGCCTAATTTCATTAGACTCAAGTTTCCATGGTTTTGGTAGCTTAGTGAAACACCCAGGAAAGGGTCAAAAACCTTTCAGTACTTTCATTTTTTTTTTTTTTTGTAGACACTTTCCATCTATCCTTGCTCCCACCCATGCAAGTTAGGAAAGCTGATAATTAAGAGTCTTTAGGAGAAGGCAGTCAATTTCAACAGTTATGAAAATCATAACATACTAGTTTTTTCATATGAAAAGACATAAATATATCGATGGTAGCAATATATACTTTATATTGATTGTTTTTTATTTTAAACTATACTCCAAGAAAGGAAAACTCTTAATGGTAATTGAGGTTAGGAAATAAACAATAACAAAAACCTTATACATTATAGTCCTACACCAAAATAGTCTTTCAAACACCCTTGAAAAATTTTGTCATTCTACTAAATTCCATTTTTCTTCTTGGTTATTTCTGTTGTCACTTCACTCTTGTGTATACGTCTCTGACTCATCTGGACCACTAAGAATTTGTTCCAAAAGAGGACCCTAAGAGAGACATACATGGATCTAATCTACATGGAAAGTAGAAAAAGACAAGATTTCCTGAGTAAATTGGGAGCATGGGGATCATGGGAGAGGGTAGAAGGGGAGGGGAGGGGAGAGGAAAGGAGGGAAGTGGAGAAAAATAGAAAGCTCAATAAAAACAGTTTTTAAAAAAAGAATTTGTTTCTCTGTTCACTTTGTATCCACTTATTTTCTTCACTCCCTAAGTTGATTTATATCATGACACACTAGTTTACACCACTCTTGGGAACCTTTTGCTGCTAAAGCTGCAGAAGATGTAGAATGATAGATGTTAGACTAGTATTAACTTATTTTATCCTCTTTTTTTTTGGCGTAATACATGTTTTTCTCTACAGTTATTTCTTTTATCTCTCCTTGGCCTAGAATACCCTACACATGAAAGTCTCATCTGTTCACCAACAATCATCCTAAATACTACAACTTCAAAGAAGTTTACCTATAGAATCTTACATAGCTCTTTATTTCAATTTTAGCATTTATAATCATGACTGACTGTTTTCTTCCATAAGCACAGAGTCATCTCTGAACTACTAATAAATACTTAATTTAGGGACAGTTAAGCTGAATAACAGATGACAATGGATTATTTGAAAATACCCAAAGAGATGTTTCAATAAATTAACCATTATGTTTGAGTTGCTTCATAAAGGGCAGAGATATATTAACAAAGTACGCTCATTTTTTATTTAATGTTTAGTATATAAATAGCAAAGTCCTGGTTTTAGGTCTGGCTTTGTCTGATGTCTATTTTCAAAATAGATAAAAGCAAATTTGCTACTTCTTCTCTGTAAAAAGTGCAGAGACCTGCAGCCCGTGTATTTTTCATGTAACCTGAAAAAGCTGTATAATTATTATTTATTGACTCTATACCTAGGGAACTTTAAAGCTGCTACCTTACTATGAAGATCATAGCATAGTAGCAGTAATGCCTATCTTACTGACAGTAATTAAGGCTAACTACATTACTGATGAGATTACAGTTTACCTCAATCATTATTGTTAGAAACCAAAATCTTTCTGATCACCTTTTTTTTTTTAATCCAAATGTTCATCAAAATACTCATTTGTATTTTCCCTTGTTTGAACTAAATCCCAACCCCATCTCAGACTTCTTTGGGTCTGGCCTGAGCTTCACATGGTTTTCAGTCTCTTATAGTCTTAACTCTTCATCTCTTGCTATAACTGAAATCCAACAAGGTAGAAAAAAATGTCATTTCCTCTGCTAATCCATAAAAGCTTTCCTTTTCTGGTGTACACACTGTTCACCTATGTGACCTTTCTAAATTTCTTATTGCATGCTCTTGGTTTCACAGTTCATATGGATGAAAAACAATGTCATGGCCTCCCACTTCCTTGCCTTCCTCACTCTTGAGTGATCTGTTGCTCTCTCTCTCTTTTTTTTTTTTTTCCAGTTACTGACCTCAGGGTCTTATCTTTAATATTGTCAACACCAATGAAGAACATTTCTTTATATTGTTTTCTGGTCATGTCTTTCAAGTTTATTTCAATGAAAACGCAAGCCTGTTTGGCCAATACTCTTCACCACCATATGAAAATTATACCAAGAGAATATAAACAACCTTAAGTAGATTAAAAACAGTAGTCAATGTTGCCCAACTTAAAAGTTTAAATGGACTCACTAATAAGTTTCACCAGCCTTTTAAAGAAAACTAAGACTAGCACACCTCAAAACATTCCATAAAATAGAAAGGGAAGAAATTTACCACATTCATTTTATGAGACTAGTATTTCCCTAGTACGCAAAGTGGATAAAGCAAAGAAGGAAAGAAAGAAAGAAAGAAAGAAAGAAAGAAAGAAAGAAAGAAAGGAAGGAAGGAAGGAAGGAAGGAAGGAAGGAAGGAAGGAAGGAAGGAAGGAAGGAAGAAGGAAAGAAAGATTGATTATAGGCCATTATCCCTGATGAACACTAATGTAACCGTTTTCAAGAAATTACTGGTGAACCTCATTCAAATTCAAGAACACAGTAGAAAGATCATGAGGCTAGAGAGAAAGCTCAACAGAAAAGAGCACTGTTTGGTCTTCCAGAGGACTCAGGTTCATGTCCTAGCACCCACAGTGGCTCACAACCACCTGTGTAACTCAACTTCCCAGGGAATCCAAGGCTTTCTCACCTCCACTGGCACAGACATGGAGTACAAAGATGCATATAGGCAAAAACACTCATGCACATAAAATGGAAAGAAAAATATTTATTCATCATGACTGAGTTCCATTTCAGGAATTCAAGAATGGTACAAAATATGCAAAAATACCTCATAGTATTACACTAAGATCAGAAATCACCTAATCAGGACAACAGATGTAGAAAATGGGGATGACAGAAGAACATTCCCTCAAGATAAAAGTCCTGAAAAACCTAATTGAACCAAAAGGGCATATATGACACCTATAATCAACACTGTGGTGAATGGGAAAATTAAAAAGAAAAATCCCTAAACCAGGAAGAGAAAGAATGTCTATTTTCTCTACTCCTATTTTATATAGTTCTTTTAGTCTTGGCTAGAGCAAATAACAGATGGAAACAAACAGGAAAGGAAGAAGTCAAAGTACCTTTATTTGCACAGTATAATTTTATATGTCAGAGACTATAAACTCCATCAGCTTTTTAGAACTAAGAATCACTTTGAAAGTAGCAGGACACAAAATTGACATATAAAAATATAGCTTTCTTATAACCCAATAATGAACTTGGCAAGAATGAATTAAGAAAGCAGTCCCCATTCATTTAAAACAAAACAGAAATTCACCAATGAATAGAGCTATTCATAAAAGTGAAAGACCTCTCATTGAAATTATTAAGTACACTTACAGTAGAAGCAGAAGAAGATACCAAAAGTGGGAAAGACCACTTACACCCATGGATTGATAAAATTAATATGACTATATTACTAAAATAAATCTACAGATCCAATGCAATCTTCGTTAACATTCCAATGGCATTCTACACAGAAACAGAAAACTAAGTCTTAAAATTCATATGAAAACATAGTTATGCCAACTCTCAGTATGTACCTAAAGGACTCTTAACATGCTACAACTGATTTTTACACTCTATGTTTCAAAAGATTCCAAAGAGCAAAGCAATACCGAGCAAAGAGAACGATACTAGAGAGATTATCCAATTTCAAATTATACTAAAAAGCCAAAGAAACAAAACAGATAGATCAACACAATAAAATGTCGCAGAAACAGCTAAAGCCATTTGACTTGGCAGATTCCAAAAATATACACTAGAAAAACATACAAACAGTGCGGGAAAATGGATATCCAAGTGTAGAAAAATAAGACTAGATCCATATTTCCCATTTTCCTACCATCAAATTAAGATGTATCAAATATCAAAATGTAAAACTTGAAACAGCTAGAAGAAAACATAGGAAAAATAGCCCAATATAGAGGATTCTGTAAAAAGGAGTCCTATATCAGGAAATGAAACCAAGAAGTAATAAACTGGTTTGCATGAAATTATAAAACTTCATCACGATAAAAGAAACAAATGAGTGCACAGACAGCCTAGAGAGCAGGGCAGGAATCTGTCAGCTAACATTTGACAAAGGACTACTGACTGACACGAGGACTAGGAACTAATTAAACTAAATTCCAAAAGCCAAGCAAACCAATCAAATAGACTAATGAAATGAACATACAATTCTCAAAACAAAGAAATCGTCAATAAATAAAAAAGAAATGCTCATTGTCCTTAGCTATCATGGAAATACAAATCACAACTACTTTGAGAGTCTACGTCCTTCTAGTTAGTACAGCAATTACGACAAAAGAGCACAAGCTGGTGAGGATAGCACAAAGACAGAACCCTATGGACTGCTAGTGAAAACGCAGGTAGTCTACCTGCTATGGGAATCAGTATAGAGACTTCTCTAAAACTAGAACTCCACACGATGACACAGTTATGCCATCCCTAGGTATGTATGTAAAGAACTCTAAATCAACATGCCACAGTGATTCTTATTGTCTATGCTAAAGGAATATTCACAAAGTTATGTTATCAGCCTAAAGGTCTCAAAATAGATGAATGGACAAAGAAAATGGGGTACATATAAACATATATACTAAAAGTTTTATTCTGCCACAATGAATAAAGTTATGTCATCTTCAAGAAAATATCCAAATGGATAATCATATTAAGCAAAGTTAAAACTTAAAAAGGAAAATTTCACATGTTCTCTTCTATTATGTATCCTACATTATAATACCTGTGTATGGGACACAAGAGTAGAAGCAAGACTGCAGGAGAAATAAATGGCAATAATGGGGGAGGGGGACAAAGGAGGGAAAGAGGTTGAACTTGGTCGAATATATGATATATTTACATGAAGATGTCTGAACCAAAGCCAATAGTATATACAATGAATATGTCAGTAAACTTTAGTATTAATGTTAGAAAAGGCATATATTCAAACATGAAGATTTAATAAACACTAAACATAATGTTTAGTGCTTCATAAAGCCCTGGATTTATTTATATTGACAAGTACATGTTGTTGAAGTGTATCAAAGAACAGTTTGGAATTTTATTTGTCCTGAGGCACTACCAAGTTATAGCACATTTTTACATGTTTCTGCACATGTAAAAATACCAAGGCAACAAAAAGCCAAATAATGGCTTAGGATGAAAATAACTTTGAACTCCTGAAAGAACCACATACCATTTGTGGTGGACAATGTAACATTTCCCTGCATTCTCTTTCATCCACTTCTTCTGTTATACTTTTACTAGATGATTGCTCTTCAATCTCATTATTTGTTATTTACAATTCTTTAAGCCTTTAAATTTCCTTATAAGAAAGTCCAAATTACAATAATAATACTATGGGCTAAATCATGTATTTCAAATTATGTTCGTATTTTCTGACTCACTAAGTTCCAGTTAGGTCAGTTAATTATGTTCATTTTTCTGACTATGCTCTAGTCACTGCAGTCAAATTTCAGTTCTTGCTTCAGGGGTTTTGCGTTCTTCAGCACTTATTCCAAGAATATTCTGCTTTTCCCCATAGCATGCTTTCAGTAAACTTACGTTAAATATGACCCTGTCCAAAGACTCTGGCTCTCTATCCATGTCATACAACACACACTCGATTGTTACAGCACTCTTTTCTCCTCTTACCTATTTAACTTCTCTGTCCTACAAAGACTTCATAAAAATTCCAAGAGTAATTCCATCCTACTTGCTATGTAATGGGTATTCTAAAATATTCATTAAACCAATGGACACATTCTAAAGTATTTCTGTTAAAGCTACACACTCATTCTAGAGCACTTAGTTACAGAACACTATAAGATTCTGTTCACTGGGCTGGAGAGATGGCTCAGTGGTTAAGAGCATTGCCTGCTCTTCCAGAGGTCCTGAGTTCAATTCCCAGCAACCACATGGTGGCTCACAACTATCTGTAATGAGGTCTGGTGCCCTCTTCTGGCCTGCAGGCATACACACAGACAGAATATTGTATACATAATAAATAAATATTAAAAAAAAAAGATTCTGTTCACAAAGTATAATGAAGAAGTAGCTAAAATGGCTCTTACCTGCAAACAAACAAACAAACAAACAAAAGGCCCTCACCTTCCTGTTTAGGATTCTTGAACTTACCATGTATGACTTCTTGGTAACCAGGTATCTTTGCCAACTTTTTCAATACAAAACTTTTGAGGCCCATTACTTCCTAAAGCAGGAACATAGGATAAAATAAGAGTTTATGTGGTTGGTTCTTTAAAACTAACAGAAACATGTCATATTGTTACATGAATGATACAGAGGAAACTGAAAATTTTATAACATAGTCAGCTTCTGTGAGAAGCTTTTTCATGCTGCAGAGATATTGAAGAAAGAATTATAAGCGTGGAGAGAAAGGTAACTTTTTATACCATCTGGCTTCCCTAGCAATTACCCTATGGAGTAAAGCAGAAGCTATCTCTTTTTTGATGACACTTTCATTTTATCTCACAAACTGTGGTGGTTTGAATGAGAATGGCCCCCACGGGCTCAAAGATTTGAATACTTGACCACTAAGGGGTGGCACTATTGAGAAGGATCAGGAAGTGTGGCCTTTTTAGAGGAAGTGCATCACTGGGCATGGGCTTTAAGGTTTCAAATGTCCATAGTAGACCCAGTGTCTTTCTCTTCCTGCTGCCTGTGGATCTGAATGTAGAAAGCTCAGGTATTTCTTCAGTACCATGTCGGCCTACATGCTGCCATGCCTCCTGCCATGACAATGGTCTAAACTGAAACTGTACACAAGTCCCAATTAAATGCTTTCTTCTGTAAGAGCTGCCATGGTCAAGGCGTATCTTCAGGGCATAACAGTGACTAAGGCAATAATGCCTTCGGTACCAATGACTGCCTTTTTTCTACTGTAGAAACCTTACATATAACCCATAAAAACATTCATTATCACAAAACTAACTTCAGAGAAACTGCAGTGAATCTGCATTTACCCATGAGCTCAGCAAATCCTCCTAGAGGTAATCGGCAGGTTCCAGTGACAAACTGCAAGAGTCGCATTCTTACTTCATTGTCAGTCTCTTTCACAAACTGTATGACAAAATCAGATGTACTTTAATATAAAATAAGGGTCAACGTCCCACCAATAATGAACAGTAAACAGGTGAAAATGTTTAAAAAAAAAAAAAAAACATTAACACTGATACTGGTTCAAGCAATAAGGCAATAAAAAAAAAAAGAGTGTAGTACCACATAGGTGCACTGTGGTCACTTCAGCTAACTAGCATAATAACACTACAACCAGTCACTACTACAGCTATCATATAAACGGGAAATAAACAAGAGGCTTAGAAACCTTAAGTCACTTGCCTACAGTAACATCTCTAAGAGGTACACTTGTCTCTTACTAAGGGCTGGTGTTAAGTGCTGTACCATGTGTGTCTCATTTACATAGACACCAATCTATGAGACAGCTGTAATCATCAGCAATCTCACCGTACATGCAAGAAAGGAAAGGCTTGTAGAGTATAAGTAATTTGTCTCTTTAAACTGCTAAAATGCAGAACATTTGAACTCTGGTCTCACTGAGGTCTAAACCACTGTTAAGCTTTATCAACTGCTCCCTTTTAAGCTACAAAAACAAATTAATATTTCCCATTGCTTTTTGCTGTGGTATTTTCTATTAAGCATTTTTCAAACTTTTATGTCCTTCATTAGTACCTGAAAAACTAAAGATGTCTTCAAAATTAAAAAGTTTGCTGCTAAGTTCTTCTGAAACAGGAATGTGGATGGCAAATATAGTAAATAATGAATGGGCTGGTTTGAATATAACAAAAGTCAGTCATAGAAAAAGGCAGTTTGAGAACAAAAGGGCTTCTTTCAAATAGGGAATAATCAAGGGGTGGCTAATTTTCATTATGAACTTGACTGGATTAATTAAAAGCCTTAATTGAGGCATAAGCATTGGGAATGTCTCTGAGGTGTTTCAGAGAGAATTAACGGAAGGAAGAAGACTCTCCCCTAAAAGTGAGAGGCACCATGAAGTGGGCTACATCCCAGGCTGAATCACAGAAAACCGGAGTAGGCCATCTCTACTTCCGGATGTGCATAGCTATGACAAGCTCCCAAGGTCACTGTTGTAACTGCTCTTAACCTCCTGTTGTGATGGCTGGTACTCTTAGAACTGTAAGGCAAAATACCGCTTTGTAGTTCTCAAGTAGTTTTTGTCAAGAATTTGTTCACAGCAATGAGAAAGTTGCTAATGTAATAGCTTAGTTAAATATAAGACGCTTTACTAATCTGGATCGAAAACTTTGCATAGAATTGTGGGGATGTAACAGTAAGCTCTAACCTGATGGTTTACTGTCTGTCCAGAAATGAACTGCTTCATTAGAGTGCTCAGACCTGAGTAATAATTTACACGGGTCCCCTGTGATAACTAAAGCAATTTAATATGGAGTCCGGCATCCCTGAAGGGCTGCTGACCTTTTGCTCTGTGGCACCTGGGTGATCCCAGTGGCCTGCAGGTGTGATGAGAATAGAATAATGGCTGTGAGGCATTAACAGCTGATTTGCTTCTGTAAAACCCTTTTGCTATGGGAAAGGGGATGAAATGGTGTTTTTATTACTATATAGAAGGGAAAATAAGAAACAACTGGGGAAGTAAAACAATTTTTCTGCCTACCTGTGGATTCCATGGAAGGTTGTAATGCAGACCTTTGTGATGTTTGCCTTAAAACTACACCTTAACCCCCCTTCTGCATGGTATACTGTTTGGTTCTAAGGCTGCCATCCTTCTGCTAGCAATAATAATAAACTCATTTAATCTAAATTATAACTGAGTCTAAGTCTCTGGTTTCTCCTAGTGGATTCAAATGCCACAACACCATCAAGATATAGGAAACACATTTTATTACCAGTTCTGAAATAAACCTCACCATTTTACCTAAATCAAACAGTTCAGAAATACAAATACTCATTGGGCTTCTATGACCCTAAGTTCCTAAACTATTTAGACACACATGTCCAAATGGAAAGTCTTTAAAGTGTAAGGAGATAGGAAGGGTGCAAAGGGGAACACCTGTACACACTGCCTGAGATGCAGTTCTGTATTTCAGATTGAAAGCAGACTTACTCCTGTGTAAATAGGAACAACAGACTAGTTTTTAAAAATGTTTTCTCAGCTTGGCCTCCAACTACTGACTTCTCTTTTTAATCTCTTCCCCTCCCTTCCTACCTTCCAGAGATAGTATATTCATATCCTATAGCATATACATACAAAAAGTAAATGTTATAGTTCATTCAATCCTCTCCTGGTAGACATCTTAGTTCTGTTAGCATACAAACTATTATTGCATTAAGCACTTTGGTGTATGTCATTTTGTACATGCTGATGAATATGTAAAACAGGTTCCCAGAAAAGTCTACATGTTAAATTATTATGCAATGAACTAATGGGAATAATTCTTATAAAAGATGTACCATTTGGAAAATCTCCCCATAATATAAAACCCAGCTTTTTCACCCGAGTGTGAAATTATCAGAAGTGCAAACATTAAGTTGCTTAGATGAGTTGTAGTTAGTGAAATAATTATAGAAAGAATATTCTAGGCCTAGAGATTTAAAATCTTCAATACAAAAACACAAAGCAAAACAAAATATCTCTTAAAATGTGCTTAAATAGCTCGGCAGGGGTGGTTCATGCCTTTAACCCCAGCACCAGGAGATAGAAGCAGACATATTTCTGTAAGTTCGAAACCAGCCTGGTATTCAGATTGAGTTCCAGGACAGCCAGGGCTAAATAGAGAAACCCTGTCTTGAAAAAAAAAAAAGTGCTTAAATATTAGTATGGTGCATTTGGATGTTCTATCTTGTCACAGCTAAAGCCAAAACACAGTAAGAAAAAACTATCATTCTTGTATGTTACTGTCTGAATTATTCCAATTCTTTAGCATAATATCACTTTCAGAATTAAATACCCACATTGACCTCATCATTTAAACCATACAGCTGGCTGGATGTTGTGGAAGATGCCTGTAATCCCAGCACTGGATGAGCTGATGCAATATGAAAGCAAATTCAAGACCTGCCTGGGCCATCCAGGCAGACCCTATCTCAATGTGCAACCCCAACAAATCCAAGACCAGTCAATATTTGTGATCCCACTAAAGATTGCTCCCACCTCCATCTAGAAAAGAGTGAATGAGTTGGAAGATAAAACACAGATCCAAAGGCAGTCTCAAAAATAATAAACTACTTTAAAACCACTTTTTATGAGAAAACATTATTTTCTTCAAATAATTTGTCTCAAAAAACATTAAGCGAATACCTGCCAAAATGTCTCAAAAAACATAAAGCGAATACCTGCCAAAACCAAATAATTTGCTTGCTGTTTCTTGTATAATGTCGGTACACAGTGTTTCTCTGCCAGTCTGCCAAGTCAACCTCTTGCATGCCACACAGCATAACCTGGGGAAGAAGCCCAGAATCAGCCACAAGAAAGACTGGGGGGGGGGGGGTTGTTTGCCTTTTTATTATTTATAGAAGTTTCTGAAAATATATTCTGGGTAGAATAGTTTGTCAAGGTAGTTTCTGCCAGTGTTTTGGTGTTTGTTTTCCTTTCCCTCCTTCCTGAGGCAGGGTCTCACTATGTAGTCCCGGGAGGGGGTGGGAAGGGGTTGGAACTCACTCCAATTCCTGGTTAGCATACAGGAATGGTGGTCCTCAGCATATCCTTCCAGTGCTGGAGCTATAGATATCTGCCACCAAGCCTACCTAGCCTTTTTATTTCCCTAAGGGTATCTTTTAAAGAACACAATTTTTACTTTTGATGAAGTCAGGCATGCTTTTTCTTTTACAGTACTAAAATATAAATCTCTATAAGCAACTTCTGCCTATATCACGAACACTTATATGTACATTCAGATGCTTGTGTAACTTGTATTTCATTTCCATAGGTAAACATCCGATGGAAGATTTGCTAGGGCATGAGGAAGACATACATTTAACATTATAACCTGAGAAATTACCAACATTATCCAAAGTGGGATTTCATTTAGGCTACTATTCTTTTCTTTTATTTTAGGTTTTCATGTTTACAGTTAATATTCAGTTAAAAGTAAACTTTATTTATGGGCTGAGGCGGAGCCAAAGTTAACTTTCTTTCACATGGATATCCAACTGCTTCAACATTATTTGTTATTTCCCTTTCTCCACTTAAAATAATTTGACAATGCATACTCTGCTGTTTCTAGATTTATTTAGATGCCATAAACCAAAATGTGTACATTTGAAATAAGCTACATTGAAGACATTATGGTAAATAAACTAAGCAGTCATAAAAACACAAATATAACATGATTTCACTTATAGGAGATATAAACAAAATAATAAAAATAAAGTAGGGGTACATGAGGCTTTATGTTTAATGTTGTGTAGATTTCAGTTTTTATAAGATGGAAGAATTCCCAAGACTTGATGTATAATGATTCAGTTATACGTAATATTGAATTGCATACCTAAAAATCATTAAAGTGGCAAATTTTGTATGTATTTTAACCTATATAAACAAAGCCACTTCTGATACATGCCCAACCTTACTTACATGCAGGCAAGACCATCAAGCATTCATTTAAAAATCTTACCTTTCATATTAAGTCACTACTTGATAAAGATTTCTGAAGCTTCCTTAAATTATTAATAGTGATCAAATTCCTCTTTATGACCCTTAACAGGTGACACAGATTAATGATTTTGTACTTGTAATACTATTGTTCTTAAAACATCAATGACCATAAGACACACCCAATGCCACATACTTCAGACAAATGAGAAGAATCAGTATGATACTAAAATGTGTGGGCATTGTGTAAAATCATTAAACAAGCCAAAGATGGTGGAGCACTGCTGGTATGTGAAGACTATGGAGGTTGAAGCAGGAGGATCAGGATTTCAAGATCAGTCTGAGCAGAAGTAGACCCTGTCTTAAACAAAGGAATAAACAACACTGAACCTGGAAAGGAAACACAAAGCCCACCCATTCGCACATCAGTATTCCCTACTATCAAACAATAAAGAACCTAACCTCCAATTCTTTTTCATCAAAGTATTGTAGCCACTGCAGGGGAACAACTTCATTAAATCCATCAAGGAAAGCTTTGGTCTGTTCTTGAACTCCTCGAGAAAAACGCCATTCTGTCATTAAACTGAAAATAAAGACAGCATTTGAAAATAGGTCATTTATATATGAAGTTAAGGGACAAAAGCACTAAGAAAGCCTCAAGTTCCTTTTCTTTTTCAAAATATACACCTCCAAATATATGCACACAAGCATGTATGCATGCATATATCTGATTTTAGAGCTAACATGATTTTTCATTACCAAATTCATTTTTTGAGATTATAATTTATTATAACATTTCACCCATCCCTTTCCTCCATCCAAACACGGCCATATACCCCTCTCATATTCCATAGAGTCTACAGACTGAGTCCAATCAGCCATGTCAACCTACCCAATATATTCATCTTTGTTTTCTTCAGTCACCAGGATATTGGAACCTCCCAACTTCAGGTCATGTGAAGTAACTTTTCCCAGAATCTCCATGTCGACAGAAAAATACATTTCTAAGCCACATTCTTCAATGTTGTTGTCTCTGGATAAAATTATAGCATGTCAGTGTGCATATAAACAAAGTATATAAATGGGTTTCAAATAAATAACTCAATGAAAAAGAAATCTTCAAACCTTATCCAGATAAGGGAGTTATAAAATTCAGTATCAATAGATTCCAAATCCTTAATAGTGAGTTTTTTACTTAGCATACGTTTGTAGAATGGTAAAGAGAAACCAGTATCAATAAACTTCCCATGGAATAGTGCCTGTTAAGAAAAACAAAACATTTTACTTAATCTTACAAAATGTTCTTTAGAGCACAGTGATAAAATAGAAGTCCTGAGACTTTACATTTAAAAAGCAATACTCAGTGGTATAAATTGTGAAAATTAAAATACAAAATGCAAAGCAAACAAAATATTTCACAGGTCAAACATATAATGTACAATCAAAACTATATATATATAAGATAACATGGGATTTTATTACCAACTCCCCCTACCTTTTAATATATATTTGATAATTAGCTTAACAGAAATGAAAAGGCCCATGCAGCTCTTCCCATTTCTTGGCTATCTGTAGGACCTCCGTGTCTTCATGCCTACATACAGCAACAATACAGGAAGAAGCACCACTGATTTTTAATCCAACAGATACCTAAAACCACTCACTAAACCAATTATATTGGCCCTCATTCCCTTATTATATTCAATCACCAAGTCACTGAATTATCCTCTTAAATAACTTTAAACCCTCCCCCACTGTATTGCAAACAAAATCCCAAGTCTAGATAAAAATCTACTTAAAATTTACTCTGCTTATACCACGGTAGAACAAGCTATCCTGTTGTGCCAGCAACCTCAGAGGAAGCATTATTTCATTACTATATTTAGTTTCCCTGTCTTAGATGACTATTCACCAATGTACCTCTGTCCTCAAACACTTACTATAATTATTGCACATAGAAAAAAGCAACCAGGAGAGCGTTCATGCAGACCAACCAATCTGCCACCACTAGCATCTGAACTCCCAATACACCTTGCTAAATGGTTGATGTAAGACCCATCAGTAACTGATGGGCTACCCACGGTATCTTCTTTGAAACATTTCCTTCTGAGAAACACTTTCTTGACTTTCTAATCTCAGGTAGTTTTATTTGGTTGCTTGATTTTTTTCACTCATTTTTATTGCCTCAGCTTACAAATATCCCTTAACTCCTCTGTCCACGCTATTCCTTAACACAACCATGAGCTTTTGATATTCACTACATGTTTAGAAGCCCAAAGGTCTCTTTCTACCCTGGACATCTCGTTGCCACATTTGGATACTTTCCTGTTTTAAACCTCCACTGGATGCCATATGCATCCTGGATGTAGAAGAAATCCAACATTCTTGATTTTCCTCAGCATTTGCTCTTGCCACCAAAGCCTCACTTAGGAAATGGCAATTTCAAGCAAATGTACAGGCCATGTATTTTGGTGCCTCACTCTATTCTTATGTCTGGCAATTAATCTACCAGAAAACCTAGTTCTTTCTAACTTCCAAACATATCCTGGATCCAAATCACTTCTCACATCTATTACTATGCTATTTAGGCACAAAATCACTATGCCCTCTCATGGTGACCTCTATTTCTGCTATCCTCTACACACAGAGGGTTTATTATTGGTATTGCTTAATTATAACACTAATTGACATACTCAGAACCTTTACATGACTTTCCTAAAAGTCCTATATGGTATTACTCAATCTCATCCCTCCCATATTCTCTCCCATATACTTTGCCCCAGCCATGTTCCTTTTCAACTAATGAGGCATTTTTAAACCTTGCAGCCTTGCTCTGCTATCCCATGAGCCCCGAGTGCTCTTCTTTAAGGTATGTATATGACCCCCAGTGTCCTGCCTTCTTCACATTTCCATTCATGTTCAACCTCCAAAGGTCTCCTTCAACCCATTAAATGAAAAATCAACACCCGTAGCTCCCACTTTACAGAATCTAGATTCCAAGAGTAGGACCTGTACCATCTTGTTGTTGTTCTTTAATACCCAGTACCTAGAAATGGGAAGGGAATTATTTAGACGCTCAACAAACAATTGCTAATTGAACCAATGGATAATGTAGTGCAAAAATTACAAACTCCTCTAAAAATACAATAATTTACAAGAGCACCTGTAAAGCTCTGAAACTTCTAAAAGCACTAAGTTAGTGTACTTACTCAGCAACTCAGATTTTCCTTGGGCTAAATAACCACACTTATTTCCCCTATCTCTCCGCACAAATGAGTAATAAATAAGGGTTTTACTCTTAATTTTATTTATTCTTCCTAAATGTTATCCATGCACATAATGTATGTTTTAAATCATGCTCCCATTATCATGTTATTCTCCTTCCCTCTCCCACTGAACTTTTCTTCTTCCCAACAATTCCTCCTCCCCTTCTACTTTCATCTCTCTCTGCATGTGTGTATGTATGTGTGTGTGTGTACATGCATGTGTGTTTAAGCACACACATCCCATGGTACTTAATCTGGGCTGCTTGAATAAGCCTATATGAAATACTGCTTACATAAGGAAGGGAAGATGACTGGTGGTTACACAACTGAGGAATCTGACACTTACCCCAACAACAGTGAATTGCCTACAACTCGGGGGGTTATAAAGTCTCTTTCAAAAGATTTTTATACATTTTTGTACACACGTCAGTGTATGTGGTATGCACATGTGTTTGCAGGCCCGGGGCTAATGATGAGCCTTCCTAAATTATTAACCACAATATTGATTTTTTTTGTTTGTTTGTTTTGAGATAGGGTTTCTCTGTGGCTTTGGAGCCTGTCCTAGAATTAGCTCTTGTAGACCAGGCTGGCCTCGAACTCACAGAGACCCACCTGCCTCTGCCTCCCGAGTGCTGCGATTAAAGGCGTGCACCACCACAGCCCAGCTTCACCACAATACTGAAACAGACTCAATCAAACCTGAAACTTGCAGTTTTAGCAAATTTACCTAGCCAGCTTGCTCCGAAGATCCAATATTGCCTTCTGAGTACTAGAATTATAAGCAGACCACTAAAAGTCTGAACTCTAGTCCTTGAACCTGCTTGGCAAGAAATTTACCCACTGAGACACCTCCCTAGTCCCTAACACACTTTTGAAATAAGTAACAGATAATAAAATAACTGAAAGTTAGGAACTCACCATTGCAATAAAGCGACCAATAAAACAGAAGTATGAAAGATGATCAGGATTTATGGTTGATGCTGGATTTATCTGTAAACAATAGTTATTCTTGCCTGCATACTCAAATAAGCAATACATTGGGTTCAAAACTTCATGGGAAAGCAAGAAAAACCATTCTCTATAAGAAAATAAGTTAAGATTACTTTTAGTATTCACATATATGTGAACTTTAAAAAGGTGTTAAATATATCCATAAGTAAATAAATGTGTGCATGCACACATACATGAGTGCACACACACACACACACACACACACACACACACACACACACACCTACTCATTCCTTAGCCCTCCTCCATTTATATTTTGTATATTTATATGATTTGGCTTTCCATTCAAAGCCACTGCTAGTTCTGCACTGTCAAACTGCAAGCTCACTGTTCCTCACAGGTGTGTTGTTTTCTACATCAAACTTTTATTTGGGTATCTTTTCTCAATTTCAATTCAACTTAAGTGGTTTAGGCTTTTTCTCAATTCACACTTTAACCCAATCCAGGTATCTTTGAAGCAATTTCAGAGTATAGTACGTATCTGTGATTGCATTCATAGTACAGCAACAATCTGAAAATTACACTTTTATGGACATTAACCTCTAAGGCAAAAGCCATGTCTGTATGTTTTCGGTAACCTTAACTCTTACATGCATTCTAAAATATATACTTAACAAGCTTTTTATTATGTTTTGGGATTTTTTTTATTTTGTTGATGCTGGAAACAAAATCCAGGACTTGATAGATGCTAAGCAATGGATAAATGGAGCCGCCATTATACAGGTTCTAGTAAACATTTGATGGCGACACTGCGGCACATAACACTGCTACTTTAAAATAGTGAGGTGCTTTTTTGTTTTTGAGACAAAGTCTTACTTCAGAACTTGATACACAACCCAGGCTGGCTTTGAGTCTGTAGCAGTCCTCCTGCCACAGGTACTAAGGGTTGGCATATCTGGCCTTTAAAGAACAGTTTAAATTGTCTTACAAATGCGTTCAAATGGTGCTAAAACTACAAAGTGAAATCTTAAGATGTGCTAAATGTTTATTAATTCTTAACTACCTATTTTGCTTTAGTTTAATAATTTTTAACACAAAATAAACATTTACAAAGTGTTCTCAAGTGGAATTTCAAACTCAAATATTTACTATGATCAGTGTGAGGTCATGGGGTTTTGCCTTGCCACAATTCCCATTCTTCTTTATAACCTGCTAATAAATATTATTGGCTTTAAGGAAAGAAAACTTCCAGGTACAATAACCCAGTCTTCACATAATGATGGTGGTAGACAGTGGTGGGTACTATCAGTCATGGTGAGTGTCAGTAAAAGCAGAAATTTGAGTAACTGCTCTTAAAAAAAGTCAGAATTATTATTGTTGTTCTTGGTTTGATGTTCTGTGACAGCGTCTCCTGTGTAGCCCGAACTGCTCTGAAACCTGGTAGGCAGACCAGGCTGCCTCAAATGAAATCTGTCTACTTCTGCCTCCTGAGTGCAGATTAAAGCTATCACCACATTTATCTCAAGATAAGACACAATTTTAATCTTCATCTCAGTCTGATAATTTATGTAATACTATCAAGCAATTTGAAATATTTAAGTCATTCTGGGTCACCTCTATTCTAATTCCTATAGTCTGCTATTTTGTTTACCAAATGTTTAAGAGAGCTTTTAAAATATTCCCTGGAAACTACAGAAGGCAGTCACTAAACAGAATCAACTATGAATTAATGTCAAATCATATAATTAAATTCAGGCTCAAAATACTAAGTGAACCAAATAACTTCACTCTGTGGTTGAGCTGAAGTAAGACATTTCCTCAGAGAAGAGAAATAAGTAAATCTAGTAAGAATGTGTTCACACACACACACACATATACACACACACGGAATTAAATTTCCAACTGTTTCAGATCACTTTTAGAAAGCAGCAAACCAGAGAAAACTGTAGTGATCCAAAAGAAGAATGGATATATGACAAAAGCCTGTATTCTAATACCAACACAAAAGAAAAGTTCCTAACTGACGAGAGAAATGATTGATTGACTTTCATCACAAGTTCGGCTCTGCACTTCAAACTATACACGTGAGGCTGAAAGAACATGGCCTAGAGAAGAAAATGAAGAAAACAGTAAAACAGCAAATGAAGAAAAATCACATGAGAAGCAGCAAAACATAGAGCAATCCTGCAAACAGTGACAGGAAGACAGGCTTCAGAAAACCAAATAGGAAAGGCACTGATGAGAGACAAGTAAGAGGAAAGATGATAGACACGTAGGACTGACAAAGGAGATTCCACATACCCATGACTGATGTTCCTGAAGAAAGAAAAGAACAAATAGAACAGAAAAAAAAATTCAAAGATAAAATAGAAGAAAATTTCCCAGAAATTAAAGCTCTTCACATGTTCCTTTAAAATAGATCAAATGCCAGGCATGGTGGCACACGCCTTTAATCCCAGCACTTCGGAGGGAGGTAGAGGCAAGCAGATCTCTGTGAGTTTGAGGCCAGGTTGGTCTACAGAGTGAGTTCTGGAACAGCCAAGGCTACCCAGACAAACTCTGTCTTGAAAAAAATAAATAAATAAAACAAACGAAAAAACAAACATTCTGCAATGAAGCTAGTGAATTTTAAAAGACAGCATGGATGCCCAGGAAATTTTCTGACAAAGGTTTGACCTCATACTTCATAGTGCTCACATTCAATGCTAAAACACTGAAGTAGTACCTAAGAATGCTGGTTAGACAATGCTGTGCAAAAAACGTCTGTCCGGAGAGGTTGCTGTTTATATAACCAACAAGGAAAACACTTCCACACATTTAACAACTACAGGAACAAATCCCCCCACATGAACTCTTGAATAAGCACCATGATGACGAATCTAACCAAACAGTGCAGAATCAAACCAAGTTAGGAGTAAGACAATTGTGATACATAAGAATCAATTATGTCATTTAAACTGTTGAAAAAGAACTGGAACCAAATAACTAAGATAAAAAATGCTTCACAAAAGAATATGAATGTTATCATGTCAGACACTGAGGAAAAAAAAAAACATGTTCATAATTTTCTAAGATGTCCCTTTCTTTTTCTTTTCAATGTCTGGGCATGCCCGAAATTCAGAAAAACTCACAAAACACACAATATGAACATTTATTGGATAGAAGTGCTTACTGAAAATGTGTAATAATGACATCAACACAAAAAGAGGCTAAGAGAAACCCTGACAAACTCACAGCAGTATTACGTATCTACTTCTACCACTTGTGACCTGGTTCTGCACTTCTATCAGCTATATTGAATGGTGGTTTTTCTCATTCTGCAAAATTCTATAAAAATCTGAATTCCCAGGAAGAATTAATGAAACTGTTAACTTTAAAAAATGCCAATGTAGATTTGTATGAAGCAATTAAGGGAGAAAACAAAGAAGGATTTTCATTAACTATTTCACGGGTATCTCTTAAGTAAACTGATTAAATGTAGAAAAATTTTATTTTTTCAATAAACTCAGATCAGAGAAAAAGGACAAATAAAAGTGATATGCAGTGTTGTAACAGCAAAATCAATAAATAACCATCTATAACCATTAATTATGCTACACGCATATGTAGAATACTATGCAGCCATCTGATAAGAACTTTAGCATGCACAGAAGAATAATCACAATGGTTGTACCCTGTGTGTAAAGCACTTGCCATGCAGGCAGGACACTCTGAGTTCTCTGATCCCAGAACCCATGTGTTCTGGGCATGTGGTCATGGTGACCCACCTGTAATCCCAGGACATGGGATATAGAGAAAGAAAATCCCAGAAAAACCTGGTTAACAACACCAGTTGAACTTTAGATCAACAAGAGACCATGCCTAAACATATAATGCAGAAAGGGATAGAGGAAGACACATGTCAACCTCAGGCCTCTACATGCATGTGCACACCACTCCTACATAACATACGTCCATGAATACACGTGTACCATACTCATGCAAGTACACATACACACATACCATACATATATACATATGCAAAAAAAGATGTAATAATGGTTACCCAAAATTATTCTGGTTGCTACTAAAAAAGGTAGCTTAATACATTTATATATATATATATATATATATATATATAATATATATATCTTTAAGAATACATCCACCTCAGATGGCAAAATAAACTTATTACAAAGCAGTAATAACTCTTTAATAAGTAACTTTTTAACCTTACCTTGCAAGACCACCATAATCAAGGCCTTCTTCTCCTCTAAATATTACATATAATCGCCTCCTTAAGTCATACGGTTTCAATGCCATAATCTAATTAAAGACAAAAATGTGGATATTTTGACATTTATACACTGCATAAATTACTTAAAAAATAATTCAATTTAAATTAACCTGTATTTTCAAAAGTACACATTCCACTATTCCATATTTAATTCTGCATTTCATCTGGCTTGTTCCAAAAACTAGGTAAAGATGAACAATCCTTCAAGTTTTCTCTGACTCACTTTTATATATCCTTCCCCCTTTTAGTGTTAAACAGTGGTTCCACTTAGAGTTGGACAAGTTAGATTACATTTTCCCCTTCCCCGCCTCAAGTTTTTAATCTTCCAATGTGTGACCGGTAAGTTTTTCTCTGTAGCAATATTGTAAGGTGAAAGGACTTTTTGAGTCCCACCTACACCACATTTTTTATCTCTCAAGAGGATAGAAATTCATCTGCAAGCCTTACACAATGAGGTATATTTACATAACAGCATATTGTAAAATAAGACCCAAATACATTTTTATAATCTACAAGGTTCCATCAAACTTATTCATAAGCATACATTACTTGGAGATAAAAATTTATATCTACTATCATTCATCTGAACCACAGCCAAGAGTGGCAGGTCTGGGTCCAAACACAGCTCACTAATAGGATTCCCTAGGAAGCAATTACTGGCTTAACTCTATATCTGAACAGACTTAAGGCAGTAAAAGTAATACAATAACTAGTGAATTTAGATACACAGTTGCTAAAAGCAATTCAAATACAGCTCTGAACAAGCCAGTTGTAAAAACACACTTGGAAACTTGAAACAACTATTTGGCTCAGAATTAGTCACTCATACACAAAAGCAGTTTAATAACAGCTACAGTTTGATAACAGCTATCTTTTTCTCCCTCCCTTCCTTCCTCCCTCCCTCCCTCCCTCCCTTCCTCCCTCTTTTCTTTTCTTTTCTTTTCTTTGTTTTTTTTTTTTTTTTCAAGACAGGGCTTCTCTGTAGCTTTGAAGCCTGTCCCTGGAACTAGCTCTTGTAGACCAGGCTGTCCTTGAACTCAAAGAGATCCACCTGCCTCTGTCTCCCAAGTGCTGGGATTAAAGGTGTGTGCCAGCACTGCCCAGCTATGGCTATCTTTTCTAAAGTTTAACAACTAGTAAAATGAGGATATACTATAAATGTCTCTAGAACTTCATAGGGTTCTGCAACCGGACCAAAGACTGCCCCAATGAGAGGGATATAGTTCCTGCTACTGGATAGCACACTACCAGCGCTCATGAAGTCAAAGGACCAGGAAGAGAACCTCTTTACTAAACCAGCATAGTCTCTAACACTATTCTAAATATCTGTCCTTAAACCCACAGATAAGTGGAGTTCTCACACTTCATCAAAGAATGTTCTCTTTGCTACAAAGACTATTACAGAAAACAACCAATTAAATTGTAGAGCTGTGGAGCCCAGTCCCAACTGATACCACACCTAAGGTCCAAAGATTGCAGAAAGGGGGTCAGAAAGATTTTAAGAGTCAAAGGATCCGTAAGCTTGTTGTGAAATTGTTTCTCCTTGGAATGATAGAAGCCACACCCATATATTCTCACAACATGAACGCCTAACCATGAGTTAGAACATGGAGGACACCAAGGTACATGCTAATATGGACAGAAAAAGGGTCTAAAGGTCTCAGTCCTATATAAAAACTACAGGCAATGCAGGAATGCTGAGAGCAGGTGAAATAGTCTTCCCTAGGGAAAAGCACAACAACTGGCTGTCTAATACTATATGGTCAGCCATAAGAACATATAAATACCAATAATATTATACAGAAGAAACAAGTTATATTTATATATCAGAAATACAAATAGATATACATATGTATGTAACAACAATTAATGAAAAAAGAAGCCATAAATTTGAAAAAAAAAAAAGCCAGAAGTAGTATATGAGAGAATATGGAGGGAGGGAGGAAATAGAAGCGGAAATGATGTAGTTATATTATAATCTTTAAAATAAAAGAAACAATTAAAAAAATTAATGAAACTCCTATTTGAGTACACAAAAAAGTTACATTCATTGTTTTAGAGTGAAAGATCATGAAAAACTCTCTACTTTATCATAAGAGAATGGCATGATTCTGGTTTTAATAATATTCTGCAGATGGCTCCAGAAAGACAGATATGTTACATTTATGTATCCATCCACCCATTCATTCGTTACTTACTTACTGAGTAACTATTGAATTAAAGGCACTATTCTAGATACTAAACCAAGGTAAAGTAAACCAACAATCCATGTTATCATGAAGTATACATTCCAGTAAGGGAAACAGGGAAGGAATAGTGTTATGAAAATGATGAACTATAAATGATTAGAAAACGACCATATATGGGAGGAAAGCAGGACCTGTCATTATAAACAACACGCTCAGGCTAGATCAAACACAGTGTAACCTAGAGGGCGAATGAACATAAGAGTCACTAATGGGATATTTAAATGGACTTCCGTATCCACCAATTTCATTTGTTAGCATTTTCACAAGTTTTACAAATGTGAAAACAGATTTGCCCCACATGCTGTTCAAATTTTATTTCAGTAAGAATACATCTAAATTATTTTATTTTATTGGTTGTTTTTGTTTGTTTGTTTGTTTTTCAGGATGGGGTTTCACTATCCTGGAACTAGCTCCCATAAATAAGGCTGGCCTTGAACTCACAGAGATCCGCCTGCCTCTGCCTCCCAAGTGCTGGGATTAAAGGCAGGTGCTGCCCCCAAGTGCTGGGATTAAAGGCAGGTGCTGCCATCACCATCACCAGCAAGGTTGGTTGGTTTTGAAGACAGATTCTCACTATGTCACTTGTATGACCAGGAATTCATAGAGACCTACCTGTCTCTACCTCTAGGATGCTGAGATTAAAGGCGTGTGATACCACACCAAGCTACACCTAAATTCTTGGCTGTCTCTCAATTTCCCACCTCATCTATAGAATGGAGATGAAGCTAGGAGTTCTCTCACAGAGATGCTGTGAGGAGGAAAGAAAAGCAATTAAAAGTTCTCAGTAATTGGCAAATAGTCATTAATTATTAAATGTTGAAGTTTAATTTTATTTTATGTATTTGAATGCTTTGCTTCCTTGTGTGCCTCTAGCCCACATAATAAAGTTTACTATAATTACTAATTTAGTCACTCAAGGAGTGGGACCTACTATAAATGTTTCAAGACTCAAAAGCTTTTAACTCCCTTTACAAGCCCAGAAGAAAATAAGACAAGAAGCACTGTTTCATTTTGATAGTGAAAAGAAACCTTACCTGTTGGAAGGAATCTTCGAATAAAGTCTGGCGGGACACATTGATCTTTACGTGACTAGGCAGTGCATTAGACTAAAAACAAAAATACCACATCATGTAAGCCATACATATGTATTATATAATGATCAGACTAAATGATTATAAATGAGATTTATTTACCACTGTAGTACCTGGCACAAGTAACGGAAATGAGCAAGCTTCCACCTAAAGCTGCGTTCATAAGCAATCTGTGGACCACCTTTAGCTCTGAAGAGAAGCATAACAAATAAAACTGTAACATTAAGTATGAAACAGTGTGCACTAGATCATAATATGACTAAGGAAAATTATTTACTTGCAATAAAAACAGGTGCATTCATTAGGACAATGGAGCCTTGAGTCGTGAAGGTTGTCACATTAGTAGAACACATGCACACACAGAGACTGCAAGTAGAGGCAGGTCCTAGATCTGTTATGGATACTTAGAAAAAACCTTTGTTTTTTACTATTTTATTTGTGGGGAAAAAAAAAAAAAAACAACAAGCAGAATCCTGATCATTCTTAACACTGAGGAAGTCAGGGATTCTAGATAAGGGGACCATGAGGAAAAAACTCTGTACCTTATCCTAAATCTGATCTGATAAAAACAAAGCAAAGCAAAATTAAATTCTTAGAGCAAGTTACATGCTAACTATGTGACTCTGCCAGACAATGAGAAAAGAAGCAGATACACGATTCAGCACAGAAGAGATTCAGGAGGCCTGCTTCTCCTGCCTAGAGAATCTTAACACAAAGAACAGGGTACTTTCATGGTAGAATGAACATAAAATACTGTTTTCAGCTGTCATCAAGGACGTTCACCAAACACTTCGCAGGGACCTGGCATCCTTTGCTAATAACATGGGGGAAACAGCTGTTTGTGTAACACATGTACCAAGGAAGGAAAGATAAAAATGAAAAAGCAAACTATATATTGTGTTTTAATTAAGAAGTGGCATACCACAAATCCATTCTGTAATAATATAGAACAAAAACAGTTATAGCTGGACATTACCTGTGGATGTTTTCTTAATCAAAAATTGTTTGTTCCTAAATTTGGGGCTATTTAGAGACTAAGCCTCCTGTTTTCAGTAAGTGATATTTTTAAAGTTCAGGTTTCTACTCACACAGACGACTTCCCATTGCGAGGATCTTTGAATGTTGTTGTTCTTGTGTTATGATCCACAAAGTACCTAACACCTTCTCGAGTATACCTGATCTCCCAGCCTTCTGGCAGGGGCTCTTCATTTGGTAAGCTGAAAGATAAAACTCACAATCATAAGGTGGGTATGTTTTGAGTACTTACAGCCCACTGATTCCATCCATCCATCTACCCATATGTGATAACTTAAGACTGTAGTATACACATACCCTTGAGTTCTTGGGTCTTCCCATTGGGTAGTTTTTGTATTATGATTCACAAAGTAAACTCTGTCTGTTGAATCCACTCTTTTTTCTAAAACATAAAGTATAAATAACATTTAATAACAATTTGATACCTATATACCTTACGCATATTTTTATAAACATCTTATCTGCTTACCCCAGCCTGGAGGTAAAGGTCCATATGGATCATTTTCTGCAGCTAACATTGAAGCCTGGTTGAAAAAAAGGTTGGAGACAGAAATAAGATAGCAGTTTTAGCCAGAAATATACTAATATATATAAGCACTTCATAGTCATACCTTAAAATTTTTAAAAATATTATAAAGGAATATGAATACAGTAATTTCAAGAAACAAAGTTCAAAAATATTATGAAGAGCAGTCATCAGTTGATTATTAGTAAATGAATTAGAAATAATGTACTAATATCAATGTTAATTTCTTAGTTCTTTCTAAGGAGTAAGAGATGGGTGACCAATATATAGAGAATTATACATTTAGACAAAATATTATTTTTTCAAAAAGAGAAAAATTATTATAATTATTCTGCAAAACGTTAATGTATACACATCTTGATGAATATTTGATAGTACTGCCACAAATAGTGCTAACTGTACTAATTATCCATCTTTATCTTTCTTGATAATCAAACCACTAGTTCTGTTTTGTTTGAAGTAACAACGTGCCCAGAAGAAATAGTCCACTAAATCTGGATTAGCACAGCATAATTGAGCACAGCTCAATTCTGACCAATGAGGCAGAAGCAAAAGACTTGCTAAGTATAAGAGTCTGCTACAGAAAAGTTCTCTCCCCACTTTCAGTTTACCCTCCCCTTTCATGACAGAGACTCTGGAAATCAGGTCAAGGGCAGCAGCTCTTCATGCTCAAAAAAGAAAACCAAATGCATGGCAATAGAAAGTGCAGGAAAGATGCATGGCAATAGCTGGTGCAGGTAAGATGAGGGACTACAGAGGTGCAGGTAAAATGGGTGCAACAGATGGTGTCCGTAAGGTGCATGACAATAGACAATGCAGACAAGAAGCATGATAATAGATGGTACAGGCAAGATCCATGATAATAGATGATGCTAAAAGGCTAAACTCAGCTTTTGATGAGGGTACTGTAAGCCAGAGAATGTGTCTTTCTTATCGCAGTCCTGATATTCTATTGAGGTAACTTAATGCATCCATTTAAGAGAATTCTGCCATTTAACAGAAAGTATTTTGACACATAATCAATACCTAATTTTTTCCTGTTTCTAAATTTTCATGCACACAAAGTCCTACACAGAAACAAAACAAATCTCATAGTAAAATTTTCCTTATTTACTATACACAGGATGAGTACCCTAAACCAAAATCTAAAATACTCCAAAGACAGAAAATATTCAAGAATACTTATTCATTTATACCTTTTAGAAATAATATTAAAGATTAGCCAAAAATAAAGTGAAGCAAACAAAACAATGGAATGTAGTTTCCACATTTTAGAAAGCCACCAATGTAAGGGAAAGATAACATTAACACATCGTTATTTGCTAATTACCGAATAGAGGTATCGTTGGTTGAATTGTTGCATAGCTCCCTGCAATTGATTCCGCTGAGATTGCCACTGTTCAAAATTTCGAACAGATTCCATGGTTGGCCGCTGCCAGGTTGTTGTTCTGGTGTTATGATCCACATAATATACTCTTCCACGGTCATCAACTCTTCTTTCCCAACTACCACAAATAAGCAAGACAAATAAGCAATAAGTAACCACCTAGTACGTTAAAACATATGTATTTTTACTTTATTTATTCATTGGCATTGCTAGGGAAGAAGCTCAAGCAATGTTAGGCAAATTCTCTATATCCCAGTCTTGGTCTTTTGAGACATGGAGAGGCTATGTAGACCACACTGGTCTTAACTCAGGGTACCAGTGGACCTTCAACTCTCCTGCCTCTCTCTCCCAAGTGCTAGGATTACAGGAATAAGCCATAATACCTAGCTATATTTATTCTTCAAAAGAGGATATGAATCTGTGAAGAACTTATCATTGCTAAATTCCTGTTCTATCACAGACAGACTTATTCCTCATTTCTTCTTGAAAAATAGTTTTCAGGCAGTTGTCAGAAGGAACTTATCCATCTTCTCAGTTTCATTTCTCAAAGTCCCTCAGAGATCTCCTAGGAGAGTTCAACCAGTGAGGTGCTGGTCCCATGTGTGCCATATATGTCATCCTGCCCTGCCACTCTTTTAACTCCAGAAGGGCAGAGGCCCTGTTCTATATCTTTTACCAACTAGAATTTCACTCAGATTCCAAGGTTCTATTTATTACTTGTATTTCCCCAAACCTGGGATCTATTAAGTCAGTTTTTGTTACTAATTTTGTACTATGACTAAGTATCCCTTCAGGATCCAATTTGGAATTCTCCCAAACTTACTATTATAAATATAATGGGATCCATTGACACAGAGAAACCCAATCTCAAAACATCCCCT